GGCCTTGAATGCCGGGACCTGCTGCAGCTTCTCCGGGGCGACGAAGCCGGCGGGCAGGGAGGAGAGGAGAAAGGTGCCCTCGGCGGCGTGGGTTTCTCTGGCGATGGCGATGTACTCGAGTTCGGACCAGGGGCCTAGCTCGGGGTCGAGGTGCTCAACAATGTACGTCTTGCCTGGCATTTTTTTTGGCTTCTTTTTTGGTGTATTCCCGGGGGTTTGTGTGGATGTTTCGATTTTTGTGTTTGATACTACCAGGGGGGCTGACTTGTCAAACTGACTTGCTTTGTTTCTCTCGCTTCAGGTGGAATGGCCAGGCCGCGTAATAGCGCAAGATTGGGGTGTCAGGCTGTCAGCTGGGGGTGGGAGAGTGAAAATAGGCTGAAATTTGTGGTCAAACGCTTGTTTTGGAGTCCATTGATTTTTTTTGAGGATTTGCCCTGGATCAGATCTAGGCGCCTGCCCGCTGGACTCTCTCCACTTGAGCCATCGCGGGCACCCTTTTGCGGCAAGGTGCAAATGCTTAACGCTCCAAGACGTGCCCTAGCATATACGCCTCTTACGCCTTTTTTCGGCTTTATTCACTGCTGGGTAGGTATTTATTCGATTTCTACACGGTAGTCCAAAATTAAGGAAGTGAGTGACGGTCGTGACCTGTGGCTGTTCCGCAGGTTCCGCATAATTGGCTTTCACTTGGCAACGGCTGTGCCGATGCGGTCCCATTACCCATTACCATCATTCGGCATTGTCATCGTGGAGTTGCATAGAGCAAGCCGTGAGTGTCGGGGCCGGGAGCGGTCCTTGTGGGAAAGACTGGACTTCTTTCCGTCCTGCTCAGGGTCCTCATATCATCAAGCAGATATTATTATTTGAACAAGGGGCCGAAAACGGAGGGGGAGGAACGGATAGGGTGGACAGCTGTCTCAGGTTGCAGATGCTCTAAAAGATGGAGAAGATATGCGCGTACACAGTACCTAACGTTGTGATAACAGCGTATTACATAAGCCGTGTCTCCGAACCCAGCAATCCGGGCGATCTGTGCTTCGGATGGGTGCCAAGGGGAATTTCTAGTGTTCCACGCGTATGACTGTCTACATGTAACCCGACCGGTATTCTGACGGCTCCTGAGCATGATGAGCATGTCATCCCGGATTGCTCCCGGTCTGGCAGTTGTAAAGAATGGTAGAAGAAGCAAAATAAAAACAAAAAAGGGGGTTCGATCGACGAAGCCAAGGCAGGAAAAGATGGAGGAGGAGGTCTCTGCTCTCTGGCACTCAGTACTCTGCTGAATCGGGGAGTTCATCTCATCGTCGTATAGACTTACCTCAGTTCATTGTTGATCTATCGACACTTTGATTCGCAGTATAATCAATCAGTAAGCCGGTAATCAGTGGGAGCCGGTCAACAATGAGAAACGCGCGGTCCGTTGAGCGCCCGACTAACCCTAGCGGACGCCACCCATGGCGGCATGGGCAGCAGTACTCCCTGGGCTCTGGAATAAGGTAAGGTACCTAGCTGAGGACGCCACCGACTTCACACACAATTGGAGTCTTGAGTGAGAGTCTAGACTGCTAAGAGAAGCCCCTGTTTGGAGACTTGCGACAGGCTCAGGGCAGGGCAGACTCTCCGTCTTTCCCTGCGGCACCATTCGGCTGCGCTACCATCCGCTGGGCGATAACAGGAAAGGTGACGGGAACCCCAATTCCTTCCATGTCTGTGCCCACGTCCGCCCGCTTCCCTCAGTCCCTCTCACACTCGAGTGCCTCCACTTGCGCCCAGCCTATTTTGGTAGGCGGAACAGCGGGCAGGGGTTACTCACTGTTGATGGGAGTGGACTGGCTGACTGGTTCTCAGCCTGAGGATTTAACGGGAAGAGTGCGCGGCCGGGGGGTGGGCGGACGAATCGAATCGACTGGGGAGAAGACTCGGGGACAGGATGGCACGGAAAGTACACATTTCAGATCTGAGCTGTAACTTCCGCTCTCGCCTTGGGGTCCACGGCTCAGGTCCTACTCCTGGATAATTCAATCGAACTGTACCTGGAGCATTTGCGCATCGTTCGTTTTTTTTTCTTCTCCTTCCTTTCCCATCTTTCTCTCCCTCCGAACGTCCGCCCTCCCTTCAAACAACCACCCTAATCTGCGAAATACACGTCCGTCCTGCAACGGATTGTGGTCTTTCTCTTCCTTGTCCATTTCATTGTTGGGGGAAGACGACGTCTCTATGAAATCGCGGATTGGAATACATCCGTAACTCTATCTACCTAATCCGACCCAGGTAGCCTCGGGGAGGCCATTCACTTCCCCCATCATGGCTATCCTCTCAATGGTACCATCGCTTCTTCTTGCGCTGGCATCATGGACGCCCGCCGTCGCCGCCCAGAGCGCCGCCGACTACTTTGTTCACGAACTGCCCGGCGCACCCAAGGAGCCTTTTATTAAGATGCACGCTGGGTACGTTGTCCTCCGATGCAGCCGCGTCTGTAGCATTTCAGCATTTCCACCTTTGAACCCCTGTGGAGAAAATGAAGAGGCATTCGTAAACTGTAGAGCTATCCCAAGCTGACGCGCGTTTCATCACAGCCACGTCGAAGTAACACCCGAACACAACGGAAACCTCTTCTTCTGGCATTTCCAGAATCAGCACATCGCCAACAAGCAGCGCACTGTCATTTGGTTGAACGGTGGTCCAGGATGCAGTTCCGAGGATGGCGCTCTGATGGAAATTGGTCCTTACCGAGTCAAGGATAAGGACAACCTTGAGTACAACAACGGCTCATGGAACGAGTTCGCCAACCTGCTCTTCGTCGACAACCCCGTCGGTACCGGCTTTAGTTACGTCGATACCGATAGCTATCTGCACGAGCTCCCCGAGATGGCCGACCAATTTGTTGCGTTCCTCGAGAAGTGGTTTGCCATGTTCCCCGAGTACGAACATGACGACGTGAGTATACTGGACTTGAAACACAACTGCTTGGAACTGGGTTGACAACTATGCAGCTCTACATCGCTGGTGAATCGTATGCCGGTCAGCACATTCCTTACATTGCGAAGCACATCCTTGAAAGAAACAAGAAGCCTGGCACGAAGCACATTTGGCAGCTCAAGGGCCTGATCATGGGCAACGCTTGGATCTCTCCCAAGGAACAATACGACGCCTACTTGAAATACGCATACGAGAAGAAACTCATCGAGACCGGATCCCCCGTCGCGTTGAAGTTGGAGCAGCAGTGGCGCATTTGCCGCACCTCGCTGGCTGTCACAAACACTGTCGATTTCTCCGAGTGCGAGGCTGTCTTGCAGAGCCTGCTCGAGCAGACGGCCAAGGTGAACTCCAAGGGCGAGCGCGAGTGCATCAACATGTACGACATCCGCCTCCGCGACACCTACCCCTCGTGCGGCATGAACTGGCCCCCAGACCTGGTCAACGTCACCCCTTACTTGCGCAAAACCGAAGTTGTCAACGCCCTGCACATTAACCCGCAGAAGAACACCGGCTGGAAGGAATGCAACGGTGCTGTTGGTGCCGCTTTCAGAGCTCCCAACTCTGCACCGTCGAGAGATTTCCTTCCTGATCTCCTCAAGGAAGTTCCCGTTGTTTTGTTCTCCGGCGCCGAGGATCTTATCTGCAACCACATGGGAACCGAACAGATGATTGGCGACATGGAGTGGAACGGTGGCAAGGGTTTCGAGCTCACTCCTGGCAACTGGGCTCCTCGCCGCGACTGGACCGTCGAGGGTGAAGCTGCTGGTTTCTGGCAGGAGGCCCGCAACCTTACCTATATTCTCTTCTACAACTCTTCTCACATGGTACCTTTCGACTACGCTCGCCGAAGTCGCGATATGCTTGATCGTGTTATGAAGGTCGACATTAGCTCCGTTGGCGGCACGCCCACTGACTCCCGACTCGACGGCGAGACTGGTCCTGCCACTTCGGTTGGCAACATTGGCAACAGCACCTCCGACGACGAGGAAACGCAGAAGAAGCTGGACGATGCGAAATGGAAGGCATACTACCGCTCGGGCGAGATTGTCCTCATCATTGTCATCATCGCAGCGGGTGCTTGGGGTTGGTACGTCTGGAAGGAGCGCCGCAAGCGCAGGGGCTACTCTGGCATTATGGGCAACACCCCTCCTACCACTCAAAGAGGCGCCGCGCGTGGTCTCGAGGGATTCCGTGATCGGAGGACTGGTCGTGATGTTGAGACGGGCGATTTCGATGAGAGCGAACTGGACGATTTGCACGTAACGACACCAACGATGGATAAGGACCGCTACAGTGTCGGAGGTGATAGCGATGATGAGGCTCACGAAAAGCCCTCGAGAGCAAACGGCAGCCGCTCAGCGCGGTAAAAGAATCGACAGCAACTTTGCGATGATAGGTAGGTTGGCAAAGGTCGAAAACTATTGATGCTCCTTCAAACAATGCATGGAAAGTTTAGCGAAGGTTATCTTTTTCTTTCAAAGGGGCAGAGGGTGAATGAACATTAGGCTTCAGCACGGAAACGGAGTTTTATGTGATGTCTGAATAAGGATAGAAGCAAGAAGATATTTTTATGTTCCATAGGGAAAAATTGGTTATTTTTCGTCTTGGCTACGGCCTGATACTTGAAGGTGCATCTACAGTCTCCCCGTGCGAATCGTGCCCGTGTCCTATGCCAATGATTTGTATCTCTTCTCAATGTCTAATCAGACTCGAGTTGTCATTTTTCTCCTACGCCCAAAACGCCTCTTTCTCAAATGAAAGCGCCCTTGTGAAAGTACCAATTTGACTTTGTTCGCCCAATGAACCGCCCCCGCCCAATGATTTGGTCCCCCCCCCCCCTTCCTGTAAAACAAAATGCATCTTGCAGATGGATATATGTGTGTTGTATGTGCCAGGCTTTCCTCCCATACCATGACTTTGTAACGCCAGTCGTTTGTCTTGTTGTGTTTGTTGTCCCCGAAAAAGAGTATTGACAGTAATGAATTGAGTTTCGTAAAAGAGAAAGAGAGGGTTGCCTTTTACAATTGGATATCATTATTGAGGATCCGCACCTCCTCGCCGGGCTTGAAGGGCGGGAGGCCAATGTACGGGCACCCGTCGCACCGGAAGGCGTCGCCGAGGGCGCAGTTGCCGCAGGAGCCGACTTTTCCTTGGACCGTAAAGTCGACTTCGGCGAGGTCGTCCGTTCCGAGCTTTACGGCCGCGAGAGCTTTGTCGGCGGAGGCGCGGGCAGCGTCGTCTTCGGCTGCGAGGCGCTCTGCTAGGCCGCAGGTGCAGTCTTTGCAGGCTCGGCGGCGTTTTCCTGCTTTGGGGGCGCATTCGGGGGCTGTGTTTTTGGTTGTTTTGTTAGTTATGTTGTTACTTTAGGCAGAGACAGGGAAAAGGGGGGAAAGAGTGAAGGGCAAGGGGGGAGGACTGAGACGTACGGATGTTGATGGGGCGCGAGAGATCTGCGTCTGTGAGGAGGGTGTCCTCGTCAATGAGGTCGTCGTCGTCGCCGTCGTCCATGTCGAGGTCGTCGCTGAAGTCGACGAAGCCTACGCCTGCGGGGGGCGCGGAGACGGGAGGCGCGGTGGAGGGCTTGCTGGTGAGGGAGACGGCGCCTCCGTTGTTCAAGGACACAGCACCGCCGTTGTTCAGGGATACGGCACCGTCACCATTGACGACGCCAAGCTTCTTCTTCTTCTTGCCAAAGCTCAACGAAACGACCTGATCGTCACCGTAATCCGGCTTCGTGAAGCCACCTCCTCCCGAAACGAGACCGGCGAGGACGGCCTCGCGCGCGACGGCGGGGTCGTTTGCGAGGTTACCGCCGTCTTGGGCTTTAACGTGGGCGCCGGGCTTGAGGGCCTCTGCGACGGCGGAAAGGACGGCGCCGCGGTCGGCGGCGAGGAGGGCGGTGGATTCGACGCGGGAGCCGTCTGCGTCTGTGAGGACGAGGACGGAGTCGTAGGTTTGGGGGGGGAGGGCGACGAGGCGGGCGGAGAGGCGGTCGAGCATTTGGAGGTCTGTTGTGGTACGGTCGTGGGTTGCGAGGAGGGATTGGAGTTTGTGGGGGTGGGATGCTATGGAGGGGGGCGCGAGAAGGAGGGTGCGGGTTGAGGATTGCATCGTGGGTGTGGGTGTGGTGGTTGTGGTTGTGGTGGCGGGGGTGAAGTCGAAGTCGGGGGTCGTGTCGAGGGTTACGAAGGAGGGCGCCATTTTGGGTGAGATGGGTGACTCTTGTTGGAGTGCGGAAGGTTTGGCGGCGCTCGATCTCTGACTTTGTGTGTGAAGATGTCGGTGGGAGAACGGGGAAAATGTGAAGGGGGCCGGAAAGGTTGTAGGATATAGACAGGTTGTGCGGTCGCGTCCTTTTTGCGGAATTGATTTGAGGAAGTTCCTGGCTTGGATTAGTCAAAGACCAAGAAGGACGGGAAAAGAGAGAGGAAAAATAAAAATAAAAACCACACAGAACTGTGTAGCGGGATGTGAACGTACTGTAGGATGGCGGTGCTTGATAAGCGTGAAAAGGGTGAGGGGTCGGCGGGGTGGACACCGTAATCTGGCAAGGGTTGTCACACGGTATTGCGTAGGTTCTTGGTTGATTTCAGCGGGGGTATTGGGTTCAGGTTGGGTACGGGAGTAGACGAGTTTGAAGTGAGGCCTTCTTGTTTGTTGTCGTTGGACGTGTAGCGCGTAATGGGAGCGAGGGGAGGAGGAGAGGGGGGAAGGTAAGTAATTAAGTGGACGTCGGGAAAAGGGCCTGAGACGGAGATGCACGATTCTTTGCCTACAGATCTTTATCAGATCTCTGTCTCTGTTGTGCTTACGTTTACGGTGAAAATGAAAAGGCAAGGTACAAACGTGTAGGGTGCGGCGTGCCGTGGATTTAGGGGTCCGAAAGCGGCGGCTAAAACAGCATCCCCGCCCCCATCTACGCAATTAAAAAAAAAGTTGACACTCACAATCACAAGCATGACATCGATGGGAAAAAGCAGACACGGCAGACGCCAGAGTGACAGAAGTGACAAGGGGGTGGTGGTTGGGAATGCTGACGCTGCATTACTCCGTACAGATTGAGATGCTCCTACGGATGGGGACAAATTGGCCCAACCAGCGAGTTTGCAATCCTTATTTCCAAACAACCACCTTTTGCCTTCTAATTTGTATTTCCTCGGCGGATACCCGCTGCAAATTCTCAATGGTAATGACTCCTTCTTAGTCTCTTTTCTTCTCAGGTGTGTGGGCGGCGGGCAAGAATTGGGAGAGTCATGGACTGAACTGGACCGCATGGGGACGGCCGGCGCCGCGGACAATGCACCGTGGCCACAGTGGGAATGACCGCTGACCAAACTGACAAAAGTGCATTCTCCGCAAGGTCATTGGTCGACTACGAAGTATAACCCCCCCTTGGCGATGTTCATCCATGCCTGACCAAGTCCCCCCCCTTGGGCTCTTGTCAGTTCTCGGGCTCCCCTTTCGCGGGGTCCAGTTCTGCAGGACTGCAACCCCCCTCGCCATTCGGACTCGTTCGGCGCTGTACCTATGCAATTCTGAACCCTGATTAAGCAGATTCTGCCGGGATCGGGTCGGATTGCTCCCTTGAGTAAGGTAAGGTTCGACAGACGGGAAATACGGAGTGCCAGAGCCGTAATGGCCGTTGCTGTTTGTCATCTCGTCCGGCCGGCTGCGGACTGGTTCTCCCAGGCCTTCCTTGGCACACCCGCACGCGCGCGCGAGAGACGATAACCGCCGTCGGCCTTAATGGCATACTAAGCCTTTACCTATCTATTTACCTTGTGGTACCTTATGTAAGGAATATAGTCAGTAAGTACGTTAGGTAAGGTAATTAGGCAAGACGATTGATGTAAAGTCCATTGCCAAACTTTTGATTCGCCCCCAAGTGACCGGGTACTATATGCATTGTGATACATGAGAAAATTACTCGCTGGAGTTTTTGTCGTCTTGTTCTCCAGACGTCGGTTCCAATATCCCGTGAGCCTCAACGCCGGTCCCGGAAAGTTGCCTCCTCTATAGCTACTCCACACCTCGACGACGATGACGGCGGCGGCGACAACATGCTCTATGATGTGATTCGTGAACGCCTCTACAACTTGAAGCTGCTGCTCGTCGCCTTGACCTCCGCCTTGGCCTTGTTCCCGTCGAGCCCGACAACCTCGCCCTTGCGGTTGATCACCTTGACCCCACCCTTCTTCAAGTCCGCCATCGTGTCCTTCTGCATCTGCGCCTTCTTGCTGAGCGGCTTCTTGTCCGTCCCGCCCGCCTTGCGGATCCGCTCCTTCTCCCGCCGGCGCCGGCGCACCTTGTCCTCCCGCGACATCTCCTCCCGCGCCATCGGCAGGCCGCTCTTGCCCAGCACCACCTCGCCCTTCTCCGCCGTCTCCTTGCCGGCCTTGTACACCTCCTGAGGCGCAATCATGCTCTGCCCGCCGCTGACGCCCTGCGCCGTCGCCGGCTGCGCGTCTTCCATCGCGATCGTCGCCGCGTCCGACACCACCGTCAGCGACGGCGCCGCCGCCTTGGGCTTGTAGTGCCAGTTGCTCAGCGAGTCCAGCTTGGCGCTCAGGTCCTTCCACATGCGCTCGATTTCCGCCTCTTCCTTTGCGAGCTTCTCGTCCGACTTGCTGACGTAGTTGTCCGGGTCCGCGTTCTTAATGTGCTCCTCCTCGTAAATCTCCGCCAGGCCCTTGCCCGACTTGGAATCGTCCAGCTCAATCAGACCCCGGCGCGTGTTCTCGGGCATGTTGTCGGCGCCGGGTCGGCGGCGGAGGACCTCGTCAAAGTCCTGCGCCAGGATCCTCCTCTTGATGAGCTCCTCGATGCTCTCGCTGACCTCGGCCGTGATGATGGGCACCGGCTTGCCCAGGTGCTCAAACGACATGTCCTCCTCGAGCAGCGAGTTCATCGGGCGCTCGGCGGCAGACGCCTCACCAGTCAACGTCCACTGGCGCTTGGCGACCGACTCGGCCTCGAGCTTGCGAATCTCCTCGGCGAGCTTGGCCTGGCGCCTCTCGTGCGCGGAACGGCGCGACCGCGGGTCACCCGCCGAGACGTCGGACAGGGCGTCGTCCGAGTCGTCTCCGTGGTCAGAGTCGTCGTCAAAGAGGTCCTTCTTGACATCCGCCATGGCGCGCTCGACGTCCTCCTCTTGGACTACCTTGGGCGCGAACCGCACGGACTTGTTCTTCTTGTATTTGCCGTCCTTGGAAGCCTTCTTCGCCGGCGGCGCGAAGAAGTCCTTGAAGTAGATGCCGTTCGCGTTGAATTCCTCCTCCTCGTTGTCCATGGCGTCGTCCATGTCCTCGTCGTCACTGGCACCCTCGGGGGCGTTGAGGTCCATGTCGCCGAATGTAGGCCCGTCGTCTTCCGAGTCCTCCTCGTCTGAGCCTGCGTCGTCTTCCATATCGATGTCCTTGTCCTTGATTTTTGATGAGCTGGACTTGGCTGATGGTGCCATGGGGTCGGCGTTCCAGTCGATATCTTCGTCGTCGCTGTTGGCGTCCGTGTTGGGGTCTCCTCGCGCATCCTGCTCTTCGAACCACTGGGTTTGCTTGTTGAAGGTATCGATTGAGAAGAAACCGTCGTTGAGTCCGTTGGGATCCTCAACGTATTCCTCCTCATCATCCTCTTCTTCCTCGTCGTCTTCTTCGCCGTCCTCTTCTTCCTCGTCTTCATCCATGTCTTCGAGATCACCCGTGAGACCTTCAACGTCTGAGCCCTCAAGCTCCCCCGCATCAGAGTCCTCTTCGGCGTCCTCCAAATCGGAGCCTGATAGCTCTTCCTCGTCACTGGAGCCCTCCTCGTCGTCGTCGTCGTCAACGTTTTCGGAAGCCGTCTCGAAAGAGAGAATAGAGCTCTCCGAACCATTATCCTCGTTCGTGACAACCTCATTCCGGTCCTCGAGCTCCTGCAGTGTCTCCTTTGAGTGGTTCAAAGCGCTCTGAATGATACGACGGGCCTGCTGCCAGACCTGGCTCGTCTCGAACCCGTCAACATGGACCTTGCGAATCTTGAGAACATCGGGTCCTGCGCCGCCGCCGTCGGCCCGCTTGCGCTTCTTCGTCGCCTCCTTCAGCAGGCGCAGCTGCTCATCGCTGATCTGGCCGGCGAACGCATCGAGCGTGTCCTTGACGACCTGGAGAGAGGCGGACGGGATCGCGGGCGGCGGTTGGAGAAAGGCGTGTCGGTTCTGGGCGTCCAGGTTGTCAAAGAGGGCCTTTACGTCGACGACGCCGCCATTGGGGAGCTGAGCGGCCATGCCGGGCGCAAATGTGAGGGTATTTGACGTCAGGGAGGAAGATGTGCTGCTGCCCGCCGCCATGATACTTTATTTTTTTCTATCGTGGCTCTCTCGCTCGGAATATGCGTGCTTCGGCCGTGCAAGAATTGGACTTTTTTTTTTTTTTTTGGTCGGACATGGGCTTGCACTTTCCGTCAAAAAAATTTGGGACCCCGCAAAGCGTCCGGGATCGTGGGCCTGACAGTGATTGGCCAATGATATCTATGCTGCCTGTCCAGCCTCATTAGCTAATCACTACAGTTCATCCGTTCTGCTCCTCTTTGGGTCGGCACGTATGGAATGAAAGTCACATTCACAATTATTTGCAAAGTATAATCACTTGATGGTAGTATGTAAGACGGTTCAATCAAATTCAGGAGCCCCTTACACAAAATCTTGTCAGCTGCCTCAGGTAGCGAGGTTCGAAGAACCAAGATTCGTTAACATTGACCCCCACCCCTTTCATAGCCCAACCTCGTTGTAGTAACAGCGAGAAGCTACTTATACGAATGCCTGCATGGAATTCATAAATGTATATTTACCTGTGCCAAACGTCCGCTGTTGAATTCTGCTGGACTTTTGGTAAGATTGCAGAATGTCCCGGCTCGGTGGTGGGGCCGATCTGGTCCCATAATTGAGGTACCTCCGAAAGATTACTAAGAACGGCAAGACCCCAACGGCCTCGACTTACACATCCCAGACCGTCGGAACTTGCTTCATCTCACACACTACCTCGGGATCCAAAGTATCTACGAGCTTTTGGTGCCAAATCTTCCCAGACCAGCCTCGTTATTAGATCAAAATACTATAGCAATTTCGACAAAGACCCACGCGCAAATCGGTTTCATCCGTAAGTCTTCCTTCTCGTTGGGACTTGAGACTGGAGAAGCACCCAGTTGAACCCTTGAGCTCTTGTTACAACTTCGCCATTTCGAAGCCTTCCCACTCCTTCATCTCTATTTTTACTGTGATGACACAGCAATGTACTCTCCATTCCATCTTGCTCTTCGTTGACCACTGGGAAGAGGGATTCAATCATAGTATTCTGCAATATGACTCACGAGCTAACCCTACAAGCAGCATCATCAAAACAAAGCGCGAAATCCAAGTTAGACGTAGATCAAGAAAAAGGAGCTTAAATCCCATTTTGTTTTGACGAAATAGCTCTGCGACCAAGGACTCCACTATTTGTCGAAGGCCACGGAAAGCCACGTTTTGGCAGCATCTGCGCTCTCAAAGACCACCTTCCACGGTATAGGCCGTCCTGTCCCCGTTGCTTAGAGGTGTCCTACAACATCCGAAGTGAATTCAAAATGTCCAAAATGGGCGTCTCAGACGATCCGGCCGCAGCAGTCGCGGCATCTCGCTCAGATGGCAAGACACATCTGTTGCTATGCGCCAGCGGCTCAGTCGCCACAATCAAACTGCCCAACATCATCAAAGCCCTAGGCCACCACAAGAACCTCGCCATCAGAGTCATCCTCACGGCCTCGGCAACGGAGTTCCTAAACGGTTCAACAGAGGAACAACCCTCTCTTGCCGTAATAAGAGCACTGCCGAATGTTGAAGGCATTCACTTGGATGCAGACGAGTGGGTGCAGCCTTGGCGGCGGGGTGCGTCGATTCTGCATATTGAGTTGCGGCGATGTAAGTCAAGATGTTGCCAATCCGAATTTTTACTTGCTCGGTGTTGCTGACTTGTACTTGCTCGTGTAGGGGCTGATCTGATGCTCATCGCTCCACTATCGGCAAACACATTGGCCAAAATTGTCAACGGCTTCTCAGACAACCTTTTGGTGAGCATCGAACAACTGAGATTTACGTCCTTGCCCTGACACTAATGCTTCCGCAGACGAGCGTGGTCCGAGCATGGGATGCAGATGGATTCATCGACGGCCGGAAGAAGAAGATTCTCGTGGCTACCGCGATGAACTCGGCCATGTATGCGCACCCCATCACTGCAAAGCAGGTAAAGGTGCTCGAGGAGGAGTGGTCGTGGTTTGAGGTGTTGAGACCAATCGAGAAGACGCTTGCTTGCGGTGACACTGGGGGCGGTGCCATGATGTCGTGGGAGGATATAGTCAAGGTGACTGAGGCGAGGCTTGGCCTGTGATACCATGTCGCTCATACAAGTTACCGGGAGAAATAACAACGAGGCTAGCCTTTTTTGTATTCCTGATCTTATACGTATGACCGTTATCTTTCTAACTCACTTGGCCATCAAGACACTGAAAAAATAGAGAGAAATGAAGGCGCTAAGTGGGACGGCCACTTGCGAATGAGCACAGATGCGGCGTGGAGACTTGGTTATAGCACAGGAATCCCAGCAAGCACGGTATTCTCTTGAGATTGTTTCTATCAAATTCTTGTTCCACATATCCGTTCGTGATATACAAAGGCATTCAATCAATTGCCCCCCCCCCCCCCCCCGGTGCGGTGATCCACGGATCCATAATCAACAAGATATGTTAGACATGCGAATCGCTATGCATGTGCTACTTATGCGCATAGTGGAGGAGAAGATCCGTGGGTTTGAAGTGGGCTGAGTAAGGGAAAAAGAATGGGGGCGTACTTGAATTGATCAGTCAGAATCTTTTGTTCAACACCTGTTGGCATAGAGCAGTCAGATCTAGAGTAAAGTACCTGAGATGGGTATCATGAGCTCGGGCTGGGGGGATGACATTTGCCGTACACTGATTGGCGCTCAGGGCAGCCAACATGGAGTCCGACCTCGGTGGCCTCGGTGAGCCAAGGCCCAAGCTCCCTCACCGGGAACCACACCGGATTACATCACCCATTCCGCAATCCCATGACATTTTCGCATTTCTCATCAACTGCCTCCCCCCGTTGACCACCCCTTCAACACACCCACTCCACACCCAAGATGTTCTCAAGGACGTTTCTCCGCTCAGTAAGTTCAGACCCGATTACCAGAATAGCGTCAACAGCCCTACCCACCTCGTACGCAATCGCTGACCATTGGTGTGTCTTTTTTCCACAGAATTTCGCAAGGCAAGCTGTCCGGCCGGCGGCGCGCCCAATCGCCTTCCGGGCCCCGCTCCCCTTCCTCACCCAGCACCGCCTCATCTCCGACGAGACGAAGCAGGCCATCGAAAACGCCGTCGGCTCCGCGCCCGTCGTGCTCTTCATGAAGGGAACCCCCGAGACCCCCCAGTGCGGCTTCTCCCGCGCCTCGATCCAGATCCTCGGCCTCCAGGGCGTCGACCCCTCCAAGTTTGCCGCATTCAACGTCTTGGCCGACCCCGAACTGCGTCAAGGTATGTCGATACGCTCTGTACAGCAACTCAAAACACGTGCTGGTCTGGAAGTTTTTCCAATTGGGAAGGAAAGAAATGCTGACTCTTTTTGTGTGTGTGTTTGTGTGAACAGGTATCAAGGAGTTCTCTGACTGGCCTACGATCCCTCAACTCTACGTCGATAAGGAGTTTGTCGGCGGCTGCGACATCCTTGTTTCCATGCATCAGAACGGCGAGCTGGCCAAGCTTCTCGAGGAGAAGAAGGTCCTTGCCGAGACCGAGGGCGAGGGCGAGAAGAAGGAGTAAGAGCGAAGGAAAGCTAGAAATCCCGTGCTGGAAAAGCGGTGGGAACTGTACAACTGTATCATACCAAAGGAAGGGGCAAGCTATGCGTGGATCATCGCCGGAGGAAATAGAGTGGTATTTATTGGCAGAGACCTAAATCACCTTTTTAATTTTGTACTCTTTTTAAAGCAGTCGAAAACCACATTGACAAGACGATGGGATAGATGGGCGCTGCGGTGGTATTCTCTATTCCTCATGTGCAATCAAATGATACCATCACGGGAGAACCTTGGCGTTTCAACACTGCGGAACTCTATCTCTCAACCAAGGTTTACAATGGCAAACCGATCATGATCGAAAGGCTCTGCTGTTGGCATGCTGCACGGAGGCATATCACCCAGGGGGAGGGATCAAAGGAGCAAAAGACAGTTCCTCCATATGGGATCGAACAAAAAACCGAACGCTGGAATATGGTGTTCAAAGGGACTGAGATCTACACTCGGGTCTTCCCCCATGAACCCCTCGACCACCTACCCCGATCGCTCAGTGATAGAATTGGACTCTGCGTCGAATATACGGCGACAGGGTGACTTGGGGGCCTCAATGGTGGACTTGGGATGAATACTACGACGGTCGTACCTTTCGGATGACACAAGACTGGCTCCGATTCCATTTCCCACACCATGGTCACTAATATTACGGCTACGAATTATCTAAAAACTAGACCTTAGGGCACCTCAAAGTGCCGGGTACGCAGCACCATCACCGCGCGGGTCACTTCCAGCAGACCACACGCCCGTTCCCTCGACCGTATCGACGGTATGTCTAATGATCTGCCCACGGCCAAACAGCCCCCTCTCAGATCCGGTGACGACCTCGACCTTGTGCCCAAGCTTCCGCAGACCCTCCACCGTCTCCTGCGGCATGCCCTCCTCCACGCTCACCGTCCAGTCAAAGTCGGCGTCCCTCTCGGGCAAGCCAGCGACGATACACACGCGCGGCGCATCGAGCGTCTGCTGCGGCGTGAGGCCCGCGACCAGCTGGCCGAGGAGAACCTGCACGTGGCCCTGAGGCTGCATGAACCCGCCCATGACGCCGAAAGCGCTGTGCAGCGACCCGTCGGCCGCGTTGGTCACCATGCCGGGGATGATGGTGTGGTAGGGACGCTTCCTGGGCTCCAGTTTGTTGGGGTGGTCCGCGTCGAGGCTGAAGTTGGCGCCGCGGTTCTGCAGCGTGAAGCCGCAGCCCTTGGGGATGATGCAGGTGCCAAAACCGCCATAGTTGCTGTTGATGAAGGACGCGGCGTTGCCGTGCTCGTCCGAGACGGAGAAGTAGACGGTGTCGCTGCTCTGGAGGGCCGGGGAGACGTGCTTGGGGGGTTCGCCAACGTGGAGCTTCTGCATGGCCTTTGTCGGATCGAAGAGCTTTGCGCGGGCGGCCGAGTACTCGCGCGAGATGAGGCCGGCCGAGGGCACGGAGACGACGTTGGGGTCGGTGACGTACCAGCTCGCGTCGGTGAAGCCGAGGCGGAGGGCCTCGATGATGGCGTGGAGGTAGGGCGCCGTGTTGTGGTCCTCTGCGGACCAGGCGGGGACGACGCCCGAGTCCTGGAGCTCCTGGATTATGCCGAGGGCCATGAGGGCGACGATGCCCTGGCCGTTGGGCGGGTGCTCCCAGACTTCGACGGCGCCGTCGCCGCTGCCGGTGGAGGAGGAGGAGGATGACGCTCCGTTGGCTTCCTTCTTCAGGGCGGGCTGGAACTTGAGTGAGATTGGGTCGACGGGCTCGCTTCCCAGCTCGAGATGGTGGGCTAGGTCGTCGAGTTCCAGGTGGCCGCCGAGATCTTTGACGACCTTGACCAGCTCTTCGGCGATGCGCCCCGTATAGAAGCCCTTCTTGCCCTCCTTTGCGAGAGTGCGGAAGGTCTGCGCCAAGGTGGGGTTCTTCATGATCTCGCCGGGGTTGGGCGCTCTCACGCCGTCTGACGCCTTGGGGTCCTTCTTCAGCATTTCTGCAAAGTTAGGAGAGGCCTCTCTGATCTGAGGCTCTGCTGTGTTCCACTATGAGAAGGTGTCAGCAATTGCATCTTGATAAGTGTCTATACACTACGCGAAACCATGGGATCATAGAAGACGTGAGAACGTACGTAGTGACTCGTCAGCTCTGAGACGGGGAAGCCCTTCTCTCCGAGCTCAATAGCTGGGGACAGCACCCGCTCGAGGGAAACCTTGCCGCTGCCGAAGCGCTCAATAGTGTCGACCCAGCCCGAGGCGGCACCAGGAACGGTCACGGCATGGACGCTCTTCATGGGGATCTTGCCCGATGCGCCCTCCTTGATTCCGAGGTCCTTGCGGATGGTCTCGAGCGTCGACTTCTGAGCCGAGCGACCGGAGCCGTTCATGGCCGAGACCTTCTTGGTGGCGGCATCGTAGAAGAGGATGAACATGTCGCCGCCGATGCCCGTGGAGCATGGCTCTGTCATGTTCAGTCCGGCAGCTAGAAACAAGGCATAAATCATTAGCGATCTAGTTTCACTTTTCATAACGATCAATTTATTTCGAGGACGCCATAAACCGGGTAGTTTGACTAACCAACTGCAACGGCGGCGTCCTGATCACTCGCTGTTAGTCTTGCTCATGGATTCATTGGCTCAGGAGGAGGGTGAGGCGTGACTTACAGCGGCGTTACCGCCGGCCTGAAGGATCTCGATACCACATTTTGCGGCCAGCGGCTGCGTGCAAGATACGATTCCCTTTGTGCTGTGAACTACACTCCGTCGGCTGGCGAACTTTGCGAATTCGCTTGCTTGCGCCGAGTGGAGGGACTCGCTGGTGAGGGGCATGGTGAATCGCGCGCGTGGTGCGGGGTTATCGATCGCGATAACCGATAGGGAACGGTGGTGATGATGAGATGGCGGGGCAAGTCTGATTTGGGGGCTAGAGGATGTATTATGAGATGAAAGACGATGTTATCTCGGTCTTTTTGGGAGAATGAATAATCAAAGGTCAACGATTTGTATGAGATCGCTGGAAAATGTAGATGGCGTCATTCAAAAAAGGGCGTAAGGTACAGCGAGTTCGGAGATGGGAATGCGCGGGACAGGTACACAGATAGATAGTCCCCCTTGGTCCGGGTCCAGGTTTTCGGGAAATCTAGCCGATGAAGAGAAGACTGTGTCTGAGTGGCAGTCTAGTCGACGGGGGATACAATGCCGGTAGTCGGTTAAGGAGGAGGAGCAGTCAATAAGATAGGTCAGAAGTTGAGCGTTAAAGATATAATGATCCTGTACGTAATGCCTAGGTTCGGGCTTCCCAGGGTGGTTACCGAGAGAGGTAGGTCGATAAGTGAACGGCGCGGTACGGAGCAGGATGTGGACGGGGGAAACTGGCGCTAGTGGAGTTTGTGCTCCGCATGAGAAGCCCACCCGGGGTAGATGCCGAGAATGAGGATGCTCGCGAAGTTGGCAACTCAGTTGACAAAATGAGTAGTGCGTGAGTTCAAGTTTTCCGAGCGAGAGTGAAGTATGGAAGTCGACACGGGGCGCTGAGGAGTCTTGTGGAATGACTTTTGATTTTCAGAAGAAAGTCTGTTTATTCAAGTGACATGTTGCACGTCCTTCATTACCTAGCTAAGATGGTATGGCAGATGGAAGAGAACAACTTATATAAGCCATCATAATGTAGCTAGGTCATTCATTACACGTGGAAGTATCTCGCGCGGTAGGACAATGTCAGGCACTTGCAGGGAGGGAGGGGTTCTCTCGACTTCTCAAGTATCCGGTCTGGGAAGAAAAAGACCCCGAAACGGTCTCTTTCAGCACTGTCGTTTCCCCTGTAACGCCGCACCGGCGGCCGCCGCCGGCAAAGGGTCCGAAACTCGGGGCTTGTTTCAACGGCGCCAGTGTGGCATTGCAGCACGGTCGTAGACGATTGGGGGCAATGTAGTGGCAGTTGTAATTAGAGCAGCAAGTTGTCAGGCGAATGGGCAAAGTCTAGAAGAAAGAAATTGGAATTATTTGAACTTTCTCATGTGCATCCCATCCTTTTCCAGCAGCGGCTTGGGTTCATCATCCCATGTTCTTGGTTCGTCTTCCTTGTTAATGCCCTTGGGGTCCGGATCTCATGACCAATCACTCAATCCAGCACTGCACTCTTCCGTCATACACAAAGGCGACCCAAACAGGCGGATCATCCCGCCGGTTGTAAAAGTCTACGACTGCGAACTGACACCCCGAAACGTGGGTCTGATCCGAATAACGATCGCGAGCCTAGCCAAGCCGGCTTTAGAGTCTATGCCCAGAGAAATAGAACCAGTAGTCCAGACACCTTTCTCGAGAAGATAACCTCTCCTTCTAGAACAAACTCAAAAAAATAAGCACTCTCGGATGGGCGCAGGGATGGGAGCTCCAATTCGCATCAATCGGCTCTTTGCCTCCCATCCAACTCAATTGAGACTTCTCCAAAGAAAAGGCTAGAAAAGAAAAGGACAGCGTGTTTGTGAGCAGCCACTGGAAGAACCCCAATGAGGGCTGTGTATGCGATGAAATTGTTTCAGCTCATCTAGGTGTTCTAATTGTGCTTGTCGTCTTTCGTCCACGGTGTTCATGCGGCACTGACTCTATAATGCAGACGTCGTCTGGTTGTCAGGATGATTGGGCAATCACATGCGTATGACATCGACTGACCTCCAAATCTGTGTGTGTGTGAGGTAACCAAGATCGTTTCTCGTTCTTGAGGCTCTCGCCCTTGTCCAGTTCTTGAACTTTGGCATAGTCTCGTAGATGCTGGCACTGTCTTTTACTAACCCCATTTCTATAGGTAACAACTGTTAGTGACATTTGTCGAACTGCTGTGGCCTGGGAAATCATTCGACCTGCGATTGGTTCGACAGCTCATGTGAGAAACAGACACTGACTATGTCTTCGATGCAACGTCAATGGCCTTGAAACAACGTTGTTTTCCTAGAGTTGCACCCGGGTACGTTATACTGCTACTCACATACCTCCGGAGAATTTCTCTCTGAGCGCTGTCAGCTCATTGTCGTCCGACTGATGCTCGCAATTCGAAACCTCGAAAACTATAGTCAGCGAGCCAGCTGGTCTCATGTTCTTGTTTTCTGATGTTTTTGCAATGTCCCATAGAATTGACGGATCTAACTTGAGATGGTGTCTCCCGACTACAACTCGGTGCAGCTCGCGTCTCTAGCCCTACTGCTCCGGTTTGATCCCTGGTGACGAAGGCCATTGGGACAGTATTATTAAGGCCCGTCGCTAGCGATTTCGTGGGAGACACTTACTTCCTCGATAGGCTAGATGACTTCATGGGCCATGGGACTGATTCCCCGTGTTGCAAACAAGAAACCATGGAGGCTGACAACTTGGATTCTGGAGGCGGAGGTTTTTGCTTCCTAGCATCTACTTTAATGTCGAATGAGATGGCTATCCCTAATATCCGAATATGCTGAAACCGTAGTGGAAAGGTTGATAAACTACTTGGAGCTTCAATGTCTATTTACAGCCGAGTGAACTTGTTGAAGTCCTTATATCGGGGGAGTTATTGAATGCATACCAAACATTGATCTACTAGCCGGGCTGTAGACGGTTGAAATTACTGTGCCATGAGTAAGGAGGCCACTGCTTATTCACGGGTATCTGCCTTAGAAACTGGATTTCAATCAACCGCAAAGACTACAGTTTCTTTCGATATCGAACTTGGTTTCTCTTATTCAGGTTGGATACGGCATATTTGCGTACTTATGTATCAAGGCATCTCTACGGCGAATCCTTACATCGATTTCTTTCCTCGCTCGATTTGCACACCACTTCGACAGAATGGAAACCAATTTCTCATATCTTGAATCGGAAACCATGCGCCGCCGCTTCTCCCGGCGCAGCATTGATAGCCCCCTCGACGTGCTCCCCCCTCTCTAGCTTGCGATTCAACCCCACCAACACAAACCTCAACACCGTCGCCGCGCAAATGGCAATAAAGCACGCAACGCAATTGTGAATAAACGCCGCCGTGTACTGCGGGCTATCCTTCTTGGGGTACAAGTAACTAGCGTAGATACTGCTGCAGTTACTAACAGCATTGATAAACGCCAGCGCGGCGGCTCTCTTGGCGGGAGGACGCGGCAGGGTGTTGCTGATCCAAGCCAGCGCCGTGGTGTAGCCCGTGTACACGCCCGGGACGAGGAGCATCATGGCGACGTAGCGCGGGGCGGTCGCGTGCGTGGCGGCGCCGAGGATGAAGGCCGCCATGGCTACGCAGAGGGGCACGACGATGTGGAAGTAGCGCTCGCCCGTGCGGTCGGCGTGCCAGGCGTTGATGCAGGTCGTGATGACGCAGAGGACGTAGGGCGGGCAGGTTAGGAGGAGGGAGATTACGGAGTTGTAGCCGAGGGTCTGGACGACCGTGGGGAAGAAGTTTGTGATGGAGGCCGAGGCGACGATGCAGAAGATGAGAACCAGCTGAGATGATGTGTGTCAGTCTATACAAATGAGGGACGAGGGTAGTATGACTTACGAGAATCCACGTCTTTACATCCTCCAACGCCGTCTTGAACCCGTGCCAAAACGTCTGCTCCCCGCTATTCTTCCAATCATCCTCGCCGATATCCTCCTCCAGCCTCCAGACCGCGAGCGCCGTCTCCTCCTCGGTCAACCACGAGGTCGTCCTGGGAAAGTTGGGCAGCACGAAAAAGGCCGCAAACGCAACGCCGACGGTCACGACCCCTTCGATGAGGAACAGCCACTGCCAGGCGCCGAGCCCGCGCGCGCCGTCCATGTTGCCCGTGATACCCGCCGAGATGAGACCCGAAAAGGCGCCCGAGATGAGAGAGCCCGTGTAAAGGATCGTCGTGCGCAGGCCGAGCTCTTCGCGCGTGTACCAGCAGGAGAGGTAGTAGAGGCAGCCCGGGAAGTAGGCGGCCTCGACGAAGCCGAGGACGAAGCGGATCACGAGGAGGCCTGCGTAGTTGCGGCAGGCGGCTGTCGCGGCGGAGATGACGCCCCAGATGATCATCTGGCATTTTCGTTTCGTTAGCAATTGGTAGATGGGCCTTTGATCGTACCGGTTCCGACGTGGCATGATGAGATTCTACTTACACATGTTGGCAGGTATAGCGCAGGCTTTCCAATCTTATTGAGGAAAAGGTTCGAAGGCACCTGCATGAGAAGATACCCGACAAACAAGATACTCACAGCCGTCTGGAACTGATTCGAGTTCGGGTCGAGATTGAGATCCCGCTCCAAGCCCGCCAGACGCGCTGCGGCGATGTTATTCCTGTCAATGTAGTTCCTTTCCAAATTCACAGGTTAGTAACTACTCATGACCAAAGCCCACGAAGCAACATCACTTTGCGACAAGGCTAGTCGGACCAAGTCGAAGCGTCGTAACAAACTCACAAAATGTACATGATGACAATCATGGGAAGCAAGCGAATGTCCACCTTGCGCTTCAGCTTCTTCTCGAGTTCGACGCGGTACTCGTGCGACATGGCGGCGACGATGGGTGGCGGCTGCAGTCCGCGCCTCTCGGCTTCGATGGAGAGCTTTGGCGGCACATCTTCCAGGTCGCCGGCGCGGTGTTCGTGATGTAGTGAGGCGTGGTCCACCTCGGACTGCTTCCCGTCTGCCATATTTATTCTCCAACGGTTGTCGCGAACTTTGAAGGAGTCCTTCCGGGAGAGTTGTTGATTGAAAAACGAGACTGGGGTTGCTAGCCCACGTGAGAACCTGAACACTCTTTCGTCTCACTCCGACTAGCTGACGATTGAGTTTTGTGTGTGTGACAATAGCTACTTGTTGTCCCAAGTAGGCGATGTTCGATCCATTTATGAAGC